TAGTGTAGCCATGAGGGCCCGGGGCTTTGGAGTTGGACCATCTGCCCTCTTCCTGGTCAAAGTGATGAGCGGTGACCGAATGAAAGAAAGATTTGTTGATGAGGGTAACAACCCCTGCCGTTCTGCCCGAAGCCGGTGCACCAAGGGCCGTGCCAACCCAGGATTGTTGTAACCGTGGTATATCAGCCACTTTGAGATGGGTTTCCTTGAGGAGAGCAATGTCCACCTTGAGTTTCTTGAGATGGCAGAGGATCTGACTTCTTTTGTTGGGAGATCTCAGTCCCTTGACATTCCAGGTAACTACGTTCAAGGTGGGTCCCATGGCATCCAAGGCGGTGCGTAGATATTTTCGTGCGATGACTAACTAAAGCAAAGATGGGCATGTACGGTCGTCTCAGCGCGCCCGAAGTGGCCCAGGATTTTGGGTCCGTCTGATAAGACCTGAGGCGAGAAGGTGGCAAGCAAAGACCAAATGAAGGAGGAAATATGTCTCCATACCTCTGGATACCTTGGAGGTATGTATCATGGGGAAGCAATCGGTCCGAGAGTGTTGGTTAGAAAACTGGAAAAACAAGAACATGTGGAGAGAAACAAAAAAATGTCTTCTGTAGGACTACCTTTTTTCCCGATGCGAAAGGTATAGAACTGACCTCACGTGGATGTAACTTCGACATCTTTTTTAAATGAACGCCAAGCTGTTGATGGACTCACTACCTCTGCTAAGAAGTTTGAGGCTCTGTTTACCTGTGTAAAGTGTATATACATACATACAGCTATTTAGTTGTATTTATATATTATACATACAGCTATTCATTTGTGTATGTGTGTATATAAAATTTTTTATAGTGTCTCACCAGTCAGTCAAAAATTTCAGTCAGCATGACCGGACTATAGCCTTGCAATTTATGTTAAAAAGTTTGGGGACAGATAGAGCTTTCTTTTGGAGGTATATAATCACCACGGGGGTATTTGTTTAATCAGCTATAAGCTATTGAAGTGCGATCTGCACTTCAATAGCTTATTTCCAGTGTAAAGGTGACACTGGGGGTCTTTTAGACCGCCAGCATCACCTTAAACAGTACCTGTCACCATCATCTGCTATCACATGGGGGGGGCTTGTAAGCCCCCCTATGTGATAGCAGTCAAAGTAAAAAAAATTTAAAAAATAAATCGAATAATAATAAAAAACATTAAAAGTCCCCCGCCCCCGTGAGCACGCACGTCGCCACGTAAACACGCGTCGGGTGCGCCTACGTATGAAAACGACGAACGCGCTACACATGTTGGGTATCGCCGCGCACGCCGGAGTGAGAGCAATAATTCTAGGGCCAGTATTTTGGGGTATCTCTAAATTGATGACCTGTGGGGGCTTTTAAAGCGTCTTCTATTGACTTTTTGGGGTACTGCAGTTTTTCGCCGTTTCACGGACGCACGCAATTTGTAACCTATGCATGTTGGGTATCGTTTTACTCGTAACCTCATCTTTTATATGTCATTTAAAAAATTGGTATTTTGTTGTGTTTTGGGGCATTTAATTAAATTTTTCACTAAATGTTGGGGTTTAATAAGGAGTTGCGCTAATATTGCACAACATAAACATTTGCAACTACCACCATTTTATTCTATAGGGTCTTGGCATTCAGAAAATATATAATGTTTGGGGGTTTTAAGTCATTTTTAAGCCTAAAATTTAGAATATAACATGGGTGCAAAAAATGAAAAAAAAAAGGCCTCAGTCATGAAGGGGTTTAATGGAGAACTATGGGGTTAGGACTTTTCCCCATAGTTCTCCTTAGGGTAACGGGAGGACACAAATTAGCGTCCTCCCATCACCCTAAGCTCAGCATACCGCGAGCTTCCTGCATTCGGGGACTGAGAGGAGATCAAAGGGAGTTCGTATACTGAACTCCCTTTGATCTCCTGTCACAGATGTGTATTACATCACTTCCTGCATTCAGTGTCACTCTCCAGCTACAGAAGCTGATGAAGCAGATCTCTGCTTAATCAGCTTCTCTGGGGATCCCTAGGTGACATTATGGGTCTTGGAGACCCCTGATGTCTCCATAAAGAGGACCTGTCATGTAAATTGGCTATCGCATAGCAGGCTTCTTAGCCCCCCCCCCATGTGATAGCAATAAAGTTGTGCAAAAAAAAAAAGTAATTCAAAAATTAAAGAATCATAAAAAAAATAAGCATGAAAAAAATTAAAAATGTGTTTTTTTTAAGTACTCTGCCCCCCACATACACATGCAGATATGCGTTGGGTGCGCCTACGTGCGAAAACAACGATTGCACCTATTGTGCCGCACATGTTACATATAACCGCAAACGTCTGAGTGTGAGCAATAATTTTAGGGCAATCAATCACTGATAACACTAAACTGATGAGCGGTAAAAGCGTTTTAAGCGTCGCCTATTTCCAATTTTCAGTGTGGTCGTTTTTTGCGATTTTGCGGGCGCACACAATTTTAAGGCTTGACATGTTTGGTGTCTATTTACCTGACGTGACCCCGCTTTTTATATTTTACCAAAAATATGTGTAAAAATAGATGTTTTATAACATAATGTAGAGGCAACATTTTTTCATTCGCAATTTACGGTACTTTTTCATTATATAGTAAAAAAATGGTGGTGATTTTATATACCTCCAAAAGAAAGCTCTGTGTCCCTAAAAAATGTTAACATAAATTGCAAGGCGATAGTCCGGTCATGCTGAATGGTGACATTCATGACTTACTGCTGAGACACCCTCCCCTGATATATCGGCCGTCGAAACATACCGGCTGAAAATGGCACTTTTGGCAAAATGCAGAAAGTGCAATTTTTCTGCCAATACAGCGGCACATCCCTGCTTTCTTTCCTCCCTTCTGGGCGCTGTTCTGTGTCCCAGCGGGGAGGAGAGAAAGTGTGACAGGCTGCCGAGAACTGCAGGAGGAGAGCGCAGTGAGCGGCCGGCGTTTCTCCTCCCACACCGCTCAGCCTCCTGTCACAGATCGGCAGAGCGGTGTGTGGGCGGAGCCAGCCAGTGCTGTCACAGGAGGCTGAGCTCTCCTCCCGCACTACCCCACCCAGCCTCCTGTGACAGCTGTCAGGATGGAGAGGGAGTGCAAACACTGTATATAATTGAGGACATAGTATGGTTACTTTATCCTCAATTAAGAATGAATGGGAAGTGATCTACATCACCTCCTGTACATTCATGATTGTGGTTATAGTAAACATGCTCTGTCCTCATGTTATGAATGAACAGGAACACTCAGTATAGAGGCTTCCTGTTCATTTATAACTGGAGCTGCAGAAAAAGAGATTGAGGACTCTTGTGTCCTTGATCTCTTTTTCTATTTTAAAAGGGAAATATCAGGGGTCTGTTTAGACCCCTAATATTTCTCCGAAGCCCCTAAAAGTAAAGTAAAAAATAAATATTGAATAAAAAATAAATACATTAAAATAAAAAAACTTTCGGTTTTGGCCTGACAATTTTTTGTTTCGGTTTTGAAATTTACATTCCGGTAAATATCTTTCTTTCTCTCTCCCTCTCTCCCCCTCTCTCCCCCCTCTCTCTCTCCTCTCCCCTCCCCCCCATGGATTTCTCCCACATGCAGTGCATTTGCACGCACCACAATGCAAACACAATACTCTTTCCAGTGAGGTGCCACTACACTATTTTTTCAAGTGCGAACACAAAACATAGAGCATGCTACGGTTTTTTGTATTTGCAGTGGACTGGAACACAGGCAATGTTTTGCCACCCGTCTGTTTGGCCTGCGGGCCGGGGGCGTGGCTGTGATGCCATTGACATCAATGGACCACCATGGCCCCTCCTGTCACAGAACAAAGAGGGGAGTTTAATGTGCAATTGCAATGCGTTCCAGTAGCTACTGCTCTGGAACGCACCGCAGTTGGTGTGGACTGGCCATAAGACACCACACAGTCCTCCAGAGACCCTGCAGAGACCCCGCACAGCCCTCCCAAAAACCCCGCACAACCCTCCTGAGACCCTGCACAGCCTTCCTGAGACCCTCTGCTGGAGGCATCAGACCGGCACCCCGGAGCAGCACAGAGTATGTAGCTTCATATTATTCTGCATTGCTTTTAAATGTATTTCTGGGCTTTGTAGTCGTCTATAGCTTATTGTATTCTGCATTACTGTATAATGTATAGCTGGGATTTGTAGTCCTCTCTAGCTGATTACACCTGTCCAAGATTTCCCCGACAGTCTGGGTTTTGAGTCCTGTATGTGCTGTGTCCAGGTTTCAGTCCAGATAAAACCCAGACAGAAAATGTCATGATATCAGGTGGACAGGGGTAACCAAAAGGTCCTGGTGCTCCAACTTGAGTGCAAGGAGGCACGGGACATGGAGGGATGCTGGAACTGGGGGAGCAAGGAGGGTGCAGATGTGTCTTGAAGGGCACTGGGGTTCTCCTTCAGGCAGATGTGTTGCTCGAACACAGAGCTACACGTCACCTAGCCCTTTATGGCAGCACCTGTTAGCTGACTGGCCGCATCACCTGGAAGTGCTGGCGGTTGTGAGCCGCAGAGAACCAGCACTGGATCAGAGAAGAAAAGGGTTTAACACCGGGGGAGGGGGATAGTGTGAACTCTGTGAGTGATAATAAATATCTGGAAGTATTATACTTGCATTTATTTTCTTTAATACATGCCACGTACAAATATATCTCTGCTCTCTCCCCTGGCTGTCTCTCCTCGCTTCTCCTATATTCTCCCCAAAAAAATTGCCGTGCAGCGCTAGAGTGTTCGGGTTTTGCATGAAGAAAAGGTGGCAACCCTACCATGTACACATATAATTACAAACCTATACATAGAGACAAGATTTTGAAAACATTACTAAACATTTAAGATTATATGATAAGGTTATATACACCAGGCTGATCTCATTCACATGTATACCTAAAAACAAATTGAAAATGCTATACATTCCTGTTACGATCATATTTTGCCATATACATAAAATTATTGCATTGTTTTTGTATATATTTAGAGAAGATGATGTTGCTGCTATTGATGTGAACATGGGCTGTCCCAAGGAGTATTCAACTAAGGTATGTTCTTTTTAAAATTAACTTTGCATGAATGTGTACATTAAGTTGATCATACATACAATCAACCGAAAACTGAAAATGTAATCATACTTACCGTAATTTTCTTTTCCTGGTTATACTCCATGGCAGCGCTGACAAATGGGTTTAGATCCAATTACCCCTAGCTGACAGGAACCAAAAGGGTTAAACAAGGCCTAACCCTGTCTATAAAAGCCCCTCCTCCTGCTGACTTCCTCAGTCTAGTAACAAGCTAAAAACTCCATAGGGTGGGAGCCCATCGCTGCCATGGAGTATAACCAGGAAAAGAAAATGACGGGAAGTATGATTCAATTTTCCGTTTTCCTGGCCATATCCATGGCGGCGCTGACGAATGGGGATTAACCAAGCAGAAGTAAGGGTGGGAACAAAATCCGTAGACAAACATCATTGAATGCGAAAAATAAATGTATCACTCGACTCCAAGTCGAGAGAGCAAAACACTTCTACCGAAGTGGTCATTCACTGCAGCCCTGACGTCCAGTCGAGAATGCTAACAAAAGGAAAACCTAGATGCCCATGTTGCTGCCCTGCAATTTTTATTCACCGAAACTCCAGCTGCTGCTGCCCATGAGGAGGACACAGCCCTTGTGGAGTGAACCCCAATGCCTTTTTGTGGGGAGACTTGCGCTGTTTGACAGGCGTTAATGATGGTGAGCACAAGCCATCTGCTTAAGGAAGTTTTGGCTGCTGCCAATGCCTTCCTGGCTCCTGCCGTAATCGTAAACAGCCTTCTGGACTTTTTCCAGTCCTGACATCCTCCCACATATGTCCTCAGAGACCGGACTAGGCTCAAACATCCTTCCATCCCTTCTGAGTTGAGAGCGGGAAGGATAATATCCTGATTCACATGAACACTAGCATGAACCTTCGGCAAGAAACCTGATACAGTTTTCAGAACTACTCTATCCTCATGAAAAATGAGAAAGGGTTGACCACAACCACAGGCTTGGAGCCCCGACACCCTCCTACCTGAAGCCAAGACCTCTAAGGAGACCATCTTGTATGACAAGAATTGCATAGAAATAGACTGTATCGGCTCAAAAGGAGGTCCTGAAAGAGCCTCAAACAGATAAAGAAGCCTATTAGGAGGATATACTTTACTCAACGCCTTCAGAGACTTGGAAACGCTCTGATTCTGAGTCCACCTGATCCTAGTGATGGCTGATGTAGCCGACACCTGTACCTCGAGTGAACTAAGGCTCATCCTTTTGTCCAGACCTGTGCGGAGGAACCCCAGGATCGCCTCAGATGAGATTTGAGAAAGGACAATGCCGTGGTCTATTGCCCATGTGGAAAACACCATCCACATGCTACAACATACAGAGGAAGTGGACACCCTCCGGGATTTCAAAAGCGTATCAATAACCTCCTGTGAAAATCCAGACTTTTTCAGCCTTTCCATTTCAGCAGCCAGGCCGTCAGACAGAGGTGCTGAGGATGCGGGTGCTGGACCGGTCCTTGAGACAGGAGATCCAATGTCACTGGGATCTGCCCCGATTCCTGAATGCTGAGGGACATCAAGAGAGGGAACCATGGATGTCTCAGCCAATGTGGGATAACTGCAATAACCACCACCTTCTCCCTCCACATCCTTTGAAGGACTGCTATGATCATGGTAAAGGGGGGAAAGACATAAGCTAGTTCGTAATTCCATGGGTGTGAAAGAACGCCCTGGCCTTTCACTCTGTGATTGAATATTCTCGACAGAGATCGGCCGACATGGCAATTCTTGTGAGACGCCATTAGATCCATCTGAGGATTGCCTCATCTTCCTACAAGTGTGTCGAAGATTTGTTACCTGTATTTGTTCTTGGAATACTGGAGTGCCTGGAATACTACCTTCAGCTCTAGTAGAGTGGACAAAGTGTTCCTCCCTATCTCCGTCCATAACCCTCTGTGCGAATAGGTTGTCCACGTGAGCTCCCCAACCCGATCCGCTTGCGTCGGTCGTAATGGTGACCCACAGGGTGTTCCCTAATGGAAAACTCCTTGCGCAGGTTTTTGTGTTGAAACCACCATTGTAGGGATACCTTGACCTTGCAGGAAATGGCGATCCCCCTGCCTCTTGTTCCGATACCTGCCCTGTTGGGAAAAAAACAACACTGCAGGTCGCATATTCCATTGGGCTCACCGAGTAAGGCCTATGGTTGATGTCATGGAACCCAACAGGCCCATGAACCACTCGGCTGTGACATGCTTTCTTGTCTGTATTGTGCCCACCTTCTGTTTGAGAACTCTGTCCTTGGGCAGTTGAACCGAGGCTAGATTTGTATTGAATGCCACTCCCAAGTACACAATCTCTTGAGTCGTGCCCGGGGGGCTACTACAGAGGATACCATACCCTTGGACACGGATCCCGTAGTTAAATCAGGTGCCAAATTTCCTATCATGTATCCTATCCAGGAGACTGTGTCCACTCACTCCCCTGTTAATATCATCCTCCAGATCTTCTATCCACAATTTAGGAGTTCTTGATACCGAAGATAAGGCCACTGCCGCCTGAAGGCCCATGCCTAACACATTATAGGTTTTAGGGTTAGTTAACACCAGAAACTGCATCACAACTGCGTGCGTCTGCGCAGTTGCATTGCGATCTGTTGTGATGCGTTTGCACTGCGTTTTGATGCGTTTAGTGCAGTTAGATGCAGGTAAAGTAGGACAAGCAGTACTTTTCCTGACTGCAGTTGAACTGACTGCAATGGTGTGAATTAGGCACAAGAAAGATCACAGGAAAGCATTGTGATGCATTTTGACTGCAGCAGTCAAAATAAATGGACTGCATCACAACTGCATATGGTGTGAACCTGCCCTTAGGGCCTGTTCACAACATTTTCTGGTCCAGATCTGGAGCAGATCTGCAGATGCTGAGCAATGTGTGCAGCAAGTTTTTTTACGTGTATTTGATGCGTTTTTACTGCATTCCATTTTTTTCTCCAGTTAGCTGCAGTGCGGTGCGTTTCTGGCACATTTTCGTGGCGTTTTGAGGCGTTTGTGCGCTTTCTGGTCCAGAGAAAATGTGGCATGCAGTATATTTCTTTGTCCGCAATGGAAAGCACTGCGCTCGTGTGATCTGGGGCCCATAAAACACATAGGGATACATTGTGATGCGTTTTTAGTGCAGGAGCGAACTGCTCTGGTCTGGACAGAATCCGGACATCTCGTGAACAAGCCCTCTTTCATGAGTTTCTTTGTGATCTTACTCACAGGAAAAGAAGATTCATTCCATCTCTGCCCCGCAAAGTGTCTGCTTGAGGGTGACAGAACTTCCTCTCGCCCTTTCATGCATCTGACAATGCAAATCGGGAACTGCTTGCTCTTATTCTCTTATGGGAATGGCCAGCTTGCCTCACCCGTTTGGCTACTGCACGTTCGATACGAGCCAGGATGTTGGGAGAATTGGAATCGGTTGCTGCCTCTTTAAGGCACTTTCCCCACAATTCTTTGACAAGCCTGACATCTTGCCAAATTATCTCTCCTTGTCACTGAGGATGAAGAAGATTCAATTTCTGCGGGGCTCAACATAAAACTATTTGACTGTCAGAAAAATAAAATGCACTCTTTTTTTTTTTTTTCTTTTTTTCCACTGCCCTTACCTCATCTCCACAGACCGGTGTGGTGAGGGGCAATCATCCATGATATCCCGTTCTTTAAGGGATCTCCAGGGGGAATCCAAAGGGGGATAAACCAACAGAAAAAATTCTAGCTTCAATTCCCTGGAAATGGCTTGCAAATTCAAATTTGGATCCGAATCTCCGGTGACGTCACGCACAGCGGAACTTCCGCGCATGCGCAGATGCCAGCTGAAGCCGCTACTGCCCATCCTGTCTCGCCCACACATCACAAACAGACAAGACCGCGGGGAGCCGGCAGAGGTGAAAAGGACATCATACAGCACAGCAGGTAAGTGAAACCACAACTGTCTTACCCTCCCTGTCTGACAGGCTGCACATTATATGGAAAATCCGGCTTCCTCTCATGGAAACAAAGTTTGTCCTTCCCCCAAGGGGACACCCTTGCACGGGGCCGAGTCTTGGAGACTTCCCAGGGGAGAGAGGCTGAACTCCCCTGAGGCCAATACGAAATCAATTAGTTGGCAAATAAAGAAAAACTTCTCAGTAACATACAAACAACCCTGTCCTAGGGGGACAGGAACAAAAAGACTGGGGAAGTCAGCTGGAGGAGGGGCTTTTATAGAGAGGGTTAGGCCTTGTTTAACCCTTTTGGTTCCTGTCAGCTTGGGGTAATTGGATCTAAACCCATTTGTCAGCGCTGCCATGGATATGGCCCGGAAAATGTGATACACAAAACATAATTTTTTTTTAAACTTTAGATTTTTATTAAATATAACAGAAAGTTACAGCTTAAACAGAGATACGATAAAGTGCCATAATACATATGGAGGAAACACTGATCAAAAGAAATCCTGGGAAGAGCTGCAAAGTCAGCTCTTTACCAGTGCAAGAACTTGCCTCCTGGAACCGCTCAGCCCCTCTGGCTGGGTGCTGGGTGTCTGCGTTGCCAACATCTTGCATGGCAGTGCGACGCACTGCCACAGTGTGTATACAGCTTAGTTACATTCGGTATGTGTGTGCGTATGGGTACATTTGTGTATGTCCTTGTACATACACGTGAAAATTATTTTTTTTAAATGAGTATGGCCTGGGAACGCATTTTGTTGTGCTTTCCCTCTACTCGCAGGTTAGGTGTCTTGGTTGGTGGATGGATCACTTCAGTTCCCCGTGGGGAATTCGGCTTCTCCGTTTTCATCAGGTGTGTGAAACTCGGTTAGGGGTTTCCATCATGTTACTGTGAGGGCATGATCGCACTATGTTGCAACCGCGCAACTTCACATACACTAGGCTCTGTAGGATTTGTTTCTGTTACGGAGACTTAATTGTTATTGCTTGACACATAAGTTAGCAGACGCATCTGCATTCACATAGACTACCCCGGTCTGGGGT